CCTCCATTTTCTACACATCAGATCTATATTTACTCTTACCATAAGGTTGGATAACACCGATGGTACTAAAGAAGTTTAGCTGTGCATTGCTCTTGGATGTACCTTTTGTCTGTATTGCTGCACTTACATTTATAGCTACTTGGTTATGTAGCATCACTCTTCATCTTATCTTAAATATTCTCCACTTTTTGTATATTATCACATCTATATTTACTCTTAACAAAATATAGAATAAAGGCAATGCTTATGAAGAAGATTATGTGGTAAACTTCTTGAATTGCCCCCCCCCATCGGCATGGACAAGGGCTTTATAAAGCATGTCTTCACCAATAATGTAAGTTTGTCCTTCTCAAGCCTTCAAACTTTGTTGTGTATATTTGGTTAGGCATGACTACAACTGCTGTTTATTTTTGGTGTTTGCATCAAATTGCATGTTTAAAGTTTATTATGTAGTTCATAAACAAAAGTTTGTCCTTCTCAATTTAAGTTTTCAGTTGTACAACCAAGTTCCTTCTTCATACCATGTAAATTAAACTATACAGAGCAAGTGGTCTTCTTTTGCACTGCATGTATGCTTCTGTTCTTCATCTGTAATCCAGTAGTGTGGTGAACCTACCCACTACAGCACAAAGTCATATTCTGCAATGTCTTAACTATGAACAATGTCATATCATTCTACTATTATTTAAACCGTCTCTTTATTTGCCAATCTAAAATGGGATAAATTAACAGCACACTAAACATTGATACTTATGAGTTCTTGATCTGTAATTCAGTGGTGTCCTGAAGCTGCCAACTCCTTCACAATGTCATTTCCTGCCATGTCTTGACCTGAACAATACCATATTGTGTTAATGCAATTTTAAACTATGTCACTGTATTCGTCAGTAAGAAATGTGATGAATTGTCAACACTGATACTTTTATGTGCAAAACATGTCATCTGTCTGCTTGTTTATCTTTCAGGGTGAGTAAGATATAAGTGTTAAACAAGCGCAGTCCCATCATCTTGCTCAGCTGCTTGCGCTGCAGCTCCCCATCAGGGCTAACCTTTCTTGAACTCTATTGAAGTGATGTCGGTTTTGTATATTATTTTGCCGGCGTGTTTATTTGCACTGGTGGCGATTTTTGATGCCCAGTGTATGTAATTTGATGTCTGCTTGTGCTTTATTATCATAGTGGCGAACTTTGATGCCCAGTGGATGTAATATGCCGTAATTTCTTTATTGTATAGTCTAGGTTTTTTCTTATTCACGATGCTGCAGTTATTTTACTGTATATATATCCTGTCTTCGCAGTAAACCGGCCAAACCGTAAAATTACGGTACATAATCGGGCCGTCATGCAATCACGATATATGATCCGCATCATGGGGCCCGTCATCTTGTTCCGTTAAAAGGCCAAAAGTAAACTGGCCCACTAGTAGATTCGGGCCTTTAATAGGCCGAGTAAACCGTCGGTCCTCTTTTCGCAAGAAAACTCAATGGGCTTTTAGGAGGCTGAGAAGTAGGTTGGGCCTGAAACGTGCCGAACAGCTCACGGGCCGGCAGCAGCCCGAAATGGACCCCGGCCCATGATTATGCGAATCAAATCACGGGCTTTTAACAGGCCAAAATTGTCTCGGTCCTTGTTTGGCCCAATCAGATTATCGGCTGCGAGCAGGCCGAAAGCAAACCGGGCCGTAGTTGGGCCCAACTATATGATGGGCTTTTAACAGGCCGAAATTAATATAGGGCCGACATGTTAAACGGGCCCTTAACAGGCTGAAATTAATATCAGGCCAAATTACTAAATGGGCCTTTAGCAAGTGGGCCCAAAAGCATAGCGTCCAGTTGACGGGCCGAATCTGATATGGGCCATAATTTAGCCCAAAGCCTCTTAAAGGGTTGGACCTGATCTGGGCCGTAATTTGGCCCAGAACGTGGTAGGCTTTTAACGAGCCGGATCTCATATGGGCCATTATTAGGCCCAGAACGTGGCAGGCCATTAATGGACCGGATCAAATATGGGCCGGCATTTGGCCCAAAACATGGCAGCCAGTTAATGGGCCGGCCTACTAGGGTCCTCAAAATCTTGTGGGCCTACAGCTGGGCCGGGCCATTAATGTCGGTGAAATCTCGTGGGCCTTTAGCTGGGCCGACCCATTATGATCCGCAAAAAATCTTGTGGGCCTTTAGCTGGGCCGGCCCATTATGGCACACAAAAATCTTGTGGGCCTTTACCTGGGCTGGCCCATTATGGCCCGCAAAATCTCGTGGGCCTTTAGCTGCGCCGGCCCATTATGGTCCGCAAAATCTCATAGGCCTTTAGCTGGGCCGGCCCATTATGGTCCGCAAAATCTTGTGGGCCTTTAGTTGGGCCGGCCCATTTAAACTTTATGGGCCGGTCCACGTGTCAACATATCATAGGCGCATCTCGCCCATTGGATGAGTGACATTTGTGCCAACGCGGAGCTGACACGTGTTTCCTCCAGCCAGTGATGATTTTACACGTGGAAAATCCCCATTGGTCCAAGCTGTTAACGGATTATCGGATCCAAAACTGGACCCGAGAGCTTAACAGTGTTCCGTTACGGTGGATGTCACGTGTCGGTCATCCTTGACGAAAGCACTTCTGTGACGCGCGATTTATCGTCATGGAAGTGGACACTTCCGTGATGATAATTTTGGTAATGTCATGGAACACTTCTGCGACAGCACAGGTATGACTATCTTGATTCTGTCATAAAATCGTCATGGATGTACATGCATGACAAAAAACGCGACCTACTGTGACAAACACGTATCATCACAAAAGTGTATTTTTTTGTACTGACCCCTACTCCTACAATCATAAGCCTCTAGTTTAGATTAGGCAAAAACTATAGTACTCCTATAAACTTATCAATTACAGTAACCTGAACAAAGAGTACTCCTATACACAAAATCAAGGAGTACTGAATTTATTCAATTTAAGTTCACTGAATTTAGAAACATCAGTATAGTTATATGAACTATGAAATGAATACAGTACTCCTTGTTGAACTTTAAGATTGAATTTAAGTTCACTGAATTTCCAAACTGAAATCCTTGTTTACTGCAATTATGCTAATGGATTACTCATATCAAATAAACAAACTGATACTCCTTCTTTACTGCACTTATACTAATGGAGTACTAATGCCAATGGATTAGTTGATGTAAATCTCGCAACTAACAACAAATCATGTAACTCACAGCAAATCATCCTAGAGTACATTTATCCCAAATTAGGAGAGAGTTGGAATGCAGAGAATATAACCAGAAATTTGGGCATTCTCAAATTAGTTCTCCTAGAACCCTAGAAATTTGGTCAATAAGAGATGGAACAATAGGAGCAATAGTGAATCATTCGGTTGTTTAGTTTGTGAACCAGTAACTCGTGAAAATTATACAAATTTGGGAAACGTGAACATGATCTCCATTCCTAGAGAATGGGGCATCAACACGTACCTTCATCTTTAGATTTACTTTAGCTTTGGGGCTTGGGTTGTCGATGGGTTAACAGATCAGGTATAGGTGACGATCTCATAAGGGCAAAGTTCCATGCTTAAAAAATGGCAAAGTTGGTGTCCCCATCTACTCTCTCTATGCTACAAAAAAGGTACTCCTACAAAGTTGTACCAGAGTTGCATCAAATAATTTGGATTGGAGGGAGTAGTTGCATTTACTCTATAAATCCTCGCATCAGCAAGCATAATGTTATGTCAATTACAGGCCATTAATAATTAAAGATCGTCAAAAGGTTAATCAAATGATTAACCTTGCGTTATTTGGTTTTTAGGTACTAAGTAAGTGACATGCATGGGAGACGGGAGTAGCACTACTACATCTCTTGAGCACATCACAAAATTTCATATAATAATTAGAGGTCACTCAATTTTTGTCTATTAGTTGTAGTATGGTGTGACCCCTTGGTTGCTTTGGTCTATATAATTAATTTCTTGGGGACCTACTGAGGGATTTGTACACTATGTGCATGTTTTTAAGTTATGCTATTGCCTCTCATGATTGATGTCTACTTATGTGTTGTGGATGTCCGTATAAAGAAGAGAAATGTTGTCAAAATTTCTAATTATTTTGAGACTTGTAGTTTTAGAGTAGTGTGGTAGCACCGCTAGGTTGGGTCAAAATCTTGGGTCTTACAGCGTGGTCTTTTTGCCGGAATTTGTTGCAATATACTTCAGCGAATTGGAACATGAATATTTGGATTAATAATGTGAGAACTAAAAATAAGAAACATAAGTTTATATTGATAGGCTAGCAATCTTAAAATCTTGCTGAATACAGTGTGCAAGGAACGCCAGGGCCTGGGAAAAATTATTTAGCAGTTTGGCAAGCTGCCATTGGCTCCTGCCATATTCCAGCCCTGCTCGAAGTACTAGCCTTCCAAAGGTTGACCAGCTAAAGAAATTAGTTTCAGTGACCTTCCCAGCATGAATTTCCCAACAGATTTGAACATCATCCCAGTAGGCAAATGCCTCAGCAGTAAGTTGAATTACCTCTCTTATTAACGCAATTAGTTGCCTTGGAGTAGAGTGTATGTGCACCATTATAGGCAATACTAACATGGGAAGTACCTGACATCACTTATTTTAAACTTTTTAAACCTACTACGTGAACAAGACCCACAGAGAAAGAGGATGACTTCCTAGTCTTCTGAAGAAATTTTGTGTCGAAAGTTGCCTAACATGATGAACAATATGATCCACAATATTTCCTATTAACAGCAGCATTGTAGCTGTGATGTTCAGCTAACAACACTAGTAACTTGAAGTGTATAACCATCTCCTTCTGTCCAGAACCATTGGTAATACAGAGACAACACTAGTACACGCAACAGAAACTACATTGAAACTTTTGAATAACCAGCATTGTCCCCAGAACGAACCAGCATTGCTCCAAACTTTATAACACGCATACATCAGTGAAAGGAGGACCGAATTCAAGACCATGCTCGCTGCCCCATAGCATGAATAAAACATCACCTGTGCAACAATTGTAGCTCTTCATATAATGGCACATATGGAAAATATGGTGGCTTGCCTTCTTCAAGATTGCAGATCACTTTGACTTGTCCATTATCCATATCGTAGCACATGAATGTGATATGCCGACCCACAGTGAAGAAGATCAAGTTACATTCTGGATGAATTGCAATCCAATCAAAGTCCTTACCAAAGTCGTCTACGTGTCGCCCTCCAAACACATGTGAAGTTTCGACGCTATGCTTCAGTATCCACTCTTTGCTGTCATAGTCTTGAAGAACATAAACTAGCAGTTGAACAACATCATCATCATTGTCATCTGTGTCAAAACCAGCATAATGCAGGCAGCCCTGTGACTGCTGAATAAAACCAACATCCAGACCATCAAGAACACGAAAGTTAGTCCTTGCTCCCCCCTCCTTGTCCACTGCAGCTAGACAACGGTCAGAACCATCAACAATGGCGCAGAAATGCAGATAACCATTAAGATGATAATTGACCGATCAAGGTGATCAATAGCCGGAATGCGTTGGCGACTTCGCTCCTGTTCATTGGATCAGCGTGTGCTCCTATACCATCATGAGGAAGAGGAAGCATGTCAGTAGCCTGTTTAACAACTGATTAATGTAATCGCGTTTGTATCCTAAGCTGCAGTTAAAGTATTACCAAATATCATGCATCCATGGCTTGAATTTCTTTCATATGAAAAACTGATTTGAACTACATGAGCCATAATGAAAATAATAGTGGCACCTCTCCTTCTAGCACACAATTGGTCAACCTGCGGCATCACCACTGCCCTAGCTACCGATAAATCAAATCTACCAAAACCTACAGACAAATTTACAGTCTAGAGAGGGATGATCTTGCACATGCCTCAACCAAAATCACATGTGCAAACACCAGCCAGATTGATATGGTCGTTGAGGAGAAACATGCTAATGGAGAAAGCCACAGAAAAATCTGAAGCGAAATCAAGCACCAACTTAACAATTTGTAAAATTGGGAACATGCAATAGGAGGAAATAGAGAAACCACACATCATAGCGATGCTGTACTTTGACGGCCGTGCACAGAGCAGCACACCCTTGGCGCCCTTCTCCTTGCCACCGTCAAACAATAGCCAGTGGTGAGGCGCCAGCCAGCGTTACCTCTCACCGCGGACCCGCATCGTAAAAGACAGAATAGTCAAATTGCTGCAGAGACGCAAATTAAAATTGCAATACATATCTGTTAGTACGCAAAATGTTTAAAATTAAGGTTGTAGTATCTTATAATGCATTACAGCTAATAGTTCTAGAACCATTTATACAGTGGAATATTCCTCTTTGCGTGTAGGACCTGTAATTTCATTAGGCTGTGCACCAATGTTTGGAGGTATAAAGAAGGAAACCATTTATTGGCAGATTAAAGACCTTTCAATACTAATCTATATCTATATCTATACCTACTAATAAAAGGGCTATCGGTTCTTACCACCATAATTTCGTCCGTTTTTGGTCCGTCCACCTCGCTCTCATATTATAGTTTAAGAATCTATATAAGGTGGTACTAAAATTTCTGCCTGTCCAAGATTTTTCCTACACCACATCTACTCTCAGCGTCGTTTTCAGCCCATCTTCCACAGCCCAACGAAGCACGGTGCAGTGCATCTACCTGCGTCGTTGTTTCTGCAGCCCAACAAAGGATGGCCCAGTGCAGTCCGGGGGAGGCAAAAATATTGGCTCGTCTGGTGATTTGAACTCGTGACCTGATGGCAAACAACTACTGACCAGATGTGTTGTAAGGAAAGCTTGATTCATATATTAGTCCCACCTCGCTCCCTTGCACGCAATCCTCCCAACTTAAATACGTCTTTGAATTTTCTGGGTATCAAGGAGCCTTCTCAAGAGTCAATAAGGAAATAATTTGTCATGTTCAGATAAATAAGGAAGGAAAGAAGAATAAGCCGCTGGTCCGTTCCTCTATATGATTGGAAAGAGAATAAGGAAGGAAATAAGTCATCCGGGCTGAAATTAAGCAAGGAAGGAAAGAGGCAGTCGGTGGTTTAATCCGCAGGAGGAGCAACAACCATCATCACGGGCTCTATAAGGCCTGCTCAACAAATCGCTGCTCCGGCTGTGTTTTTATCTTTGTTTGTTTGACATTGGAGTACTCATGCATGTTCTGCTCTGGTTTTCAAAGTCATGATGATTTTCTCCCAGTTTTCCAAATTTTAGGGCCTATATAGACAACTAAATAGACAGACCATAGTAAGAGTGTGTCTATAGTACAGTCTATAGTCGACATGCCATCGTATTATAGACATCATCTGCCTAAACAATTGTACAAAGCAACAGATTGTCGCCTCGGTTGCCTTTGCAGGGTGGTGTCTGCAACCGGGAGTCCAGGAACACCATCGTCACACGCTCCTCCCTTGCCGTCACTTGCAGGATGTCCAGCCGGCCGGGCTCCTCTCCCTTCATCGATTTTTTGGGTCACATCTAGAGGATTTGTTTCCGCCTCAACAAGGCGTGCCGAGAGAACACCGGCTTCATATCGCTGTTTCTGAACCGCGCCGCTGCCGTCAGGGACTCAGGAGCATCCTCCTCGCAGATTACAAGTTCACTCTGGTGCATCACATTCTTGCCGAGTGCTGATTACTCCAAGCAAATGCATGTTACCGAGAAACAGTATTATGTGGCGGGCAAGTTTACAAAGCAGTAGGATCAACTCTTTCCTAGGTAAACAAAAACCCACGTGCGCAGCAGCAGCAAAATACAAGTTGCCGGCCAGCTTGATTGATCTGTGTTAGCATAATGATGAATACGCACGCACGCTACTTGGCATATTATGTTTATAAAGCTGCATCGATCCGGCGGAGAGTACATGGCTCGATTTATTGCTCCCAAGAACTCGCACGTAAGCCAACAGGCGCACATCCACAACTGCAGCGAGTCAATTTAGCCCTTTATAATGATGTTTGTTTTTCTGCTCCTCCTAGACGAGAGTAGACGCTCCCTGTGAAATCAGTTTTTCTATAGCTAAATTGATTACACAAGAAACTACTGTTCTACAAGGAGGAAAGAGGGTTTTTTTGCGATAGACGAAAGATGTAATTTCGTATTCCTACAATTCTGAATTTTTCATCTGTTGATTTATTTCTGTATGACTTCATATGTGTTTTGCATAACTCGAAGAGTGCTAGAGAGATATTTTGCAAGGATTCGATCCTCAATGCAATGCATACCCTAATAGCATGCATGTTACCTTTTCTGTTCGTCTTCAAGGTCAAAATCTTTTTTTATCCATTCCCGTGTAGAAGAAAACCGATACTCACTTAAGCTAATTTGCATATCAAGCTAGGTATGTGAAGGAGGAACTCAACAACTATACATGGAAGCCCACATTGATCAATCAAGATTAGCTTTTCTGTAGTATTAATTGTTGACTAGTTATGCAGAGGTGTAGCCTTTTTGCAAAGATGGGCATGCTGAAAGCACATAATTCTTATTCATGCCAGGAATAATTGATGTGTATCATAAATGAAATAGTAAATTCCATTTTTTTATCCCTAAAGTTGGCGCTTGTGACAAGAAACATCACAAAAGCTTATATTTAGGTTCTTGCTTATGTTTTAGGCTTAAACCATTACATGCTTACTGGGATAGGAGAGTGAAGTTTTTTTTCTTCCGTTGCAATTGATGGACATATTTAGGTGGCACCTTTCGAATGTTGTCGTGGGATGTTGGCAGTCAATAAACAGAACAATTTCTCCCCCGTTGCAACGTACGGGCATATTTCCTAGTTTTAATCATGCACGGATTCATTTTGGTACCTCTTGATGGTTTGACTGAACTCAAGCAAGTTGGTGTGGCTGGTTCAAGCATGCAATAACTTGATCTACTTGTGCTCTTCTGGTACTGAACAGAAGAATCATCTAGGCATGATGCATAGTCTATAGGAAGCATTTGACAGGAATACCATGTCCAAATAATGCATGTTTCCGCACCTTTCTTTGAGACATGACATAAAAGTGTGCAATAAGCACTGACCTCAAGGAAAGAAACAAAAAAATCTTATACAGTAAATCGAAATCACCTAACAAGCTTTGGCACAGGATAAACTGTACTGCAGACAGCAGGTATTGTAGCCGTTGTATATGGATTTTATGGGCAAAAGTAAATAGATATTATTTGTCCCACGACTGTCTTCATGTATGCCTTTTGTGGGAAATGATCTCAAGATAAATGGATTGGAAGAAGAAAATTATAAGCCTACCTCGAATTTGTACATATGTGCTTTTTTTCTTCGCTGGTTCCTCAATGGAGTACTCGTCTGTGCCTACAAAATAACTGTAGACCTGTAAAATGCAAGTGAATTGCACGCGAGTCAGAATCGTTTTATGTAAACAAACATTATAGGAGCCAATGGCTCAAAAAAGCGGAAGCAAAATTTTGGCTGATAAATTGTGCACAAAAAAAAATTGGTGGAACAATAAGGCCTTCTTTGATTCGCAGGATTTTCAAATCGTAGGAATAGGAAAAGTATAGGGTTGGAGTGGCATGCACACATGAAGCCTACAGGATTAGCATGGAATGTTTGATGGCACAGGAAAAGCAAAGGAATTGTAAAAAGAGGTTGGAGTGGATGTTAGATTTCCTATGAAATGTAGTACAAAAGATTCCATAGGAAAAATTCCTATGGGATCCAATCCTATGAATCAAAGGACCAACATAGGAAAAATTCTTAAGGATTTCAATCCTCCAGAAATCCTATAGAATTCCTTTGAATCAAAGGAGCCCTAAAACAACTTAAGAACAATTGAGGCCAAGAATGGTTGCAACGGAAAATTCATTCAAAATCTGCAGCATGTGTTTTTGGGTCGCTTATTTGTTGAATGCATTGCTCAAAGTTGCTTGGACTTGATCTTCAGGATGAAAACCGAGGACGTGGACTTCGAAGGTCAAAATCCGACGATGTGGCCTATGATCGCCGTTCTCTTCTTGAAGGTTCTGCTGCTGGAAAACGTTTACAATTGTCCTTGTGTTGTCCAAGAGATGGCTGGTGTTGATGGTTGTTGCTTTAGTTCGTCGATCATTGTTTTGATAGCTTCGAGCTTTTTCCCCTCCGCCTAGGCATAGCTACGTTCTTGTATAACTTTGCTCTTTGTCAGCCTGATTCTTTGTGTGTGTGTGTGTGTGTGCATCCTAATCATACAGAGGTGGGGTGTGTTCATTGTGTTTATATCCTCCTGTTGCTTCTTTTTGAG